GAGGAACGGCGAAGGGCCGGCGGCAGCCGTGTCCTCCCCGGGAGGTGCTTATTCGGCGTCGCTGGCAAGGGCGCGGTGAAGGGCTGACCCTGGGCGTCGCCCCTTGGCGGGCCTCGGAGCTGCGGGGTGCGGAGCGGAGGCACCTGCCTGCTGCCGGAGCCGGGGCTGAGCGGGCGTCCCGGGGAAATGCAGGGTTTCTGTTCTCTCTTCTTTTCTCCCTTCTCTTCCCCGCCGTGAGCGGCTGGGGCCTGCTGGGGTGATGTGCCGCAGGCCTCTCTGGCGGACAGGGTGGCAGAAATGTGGTGTCATTGCTTTCCAGGAGCAGGTGTAAGTACTTGAAGATGAGGGTGGAGGAGAGCTTCTAACAGAAATTGTCTCTTCAAGGTTAAAGCCCAGCCCCTCCCATCAGAGTTGGTGTCTTGCCATGGCAGAGGCATATCTTTTTGGATGGGTGTAGGCAGAGACCAATTCCTCATGAAGAATGATGCTGTTGTAACAGTGTGTGCTGCTTGTTTTATTAAGCAATTTTCTGTCTTCACTTTTCCAGTTGAAGTTTGTTTATTTTGCATTCTCGGTTGGATTGCTGCAAAGGTCATGAAGGAGTAAAACTGATTTAATGGGTGTGAGAAGAAGGGGGGCTGTGCCTTCATGCATGCTACTTCCAGATCTTCATTCAGACTGCAGCCTGGATGTGAGGCTGGCAGCATGATTTGCTATTGCTTGCTTGCAGTTTTTTCCCTTGTGGGTGATGTGTGCAGGAAACTCGCATAGTTTTATATGGACACTATATTGGGTTTCTGGAATCGTCCCCTGTGCTGTCTGATTCTGCCGATGTAAAGGATTTCTGGTGTCTGGATGGGTGGGGAGACTTGAACAATACAAAGTTTGCCTTGCTTTGAAATTCCTGCTACAGATGTTTTGAAAGGGGAAGGAGAGTGAAAGATTGTGATGTTTTCTCATGGAGACTTAACTTTGGGGTTTTATTTTCTGAATGTGTGATAAGGAGATATGTAACTTTAAAAAAAAAAAGAGTGGGGGGCGGGGGGAGCACGAGAGAGCTGAATAAAAGGAATTTCTTTGCAGCTCCATCCTTTTCAATGGTGCAGCTCTCCCAAGCCCCTTTTCTTCGCCCATCATCGCCTTCAGGCCAGTCAGAGGAGGGGGAGGACAGGAGCATGAAGACAGCCAAGCAGCAGGTGAACCCCTCAGGGGACAGCCAGCCTCCCTCCAGCCCCCTGCTGACTGCGCTGAACTCGGCAGCTTCTCCTTCCCAGGCGTATGAGACTTACATTGATAATGGGCTTATCTGCCTCAAACACAAGATCAGGAACATTGAGAAAAAGAAGGTAACTTGTTTTTCTTTGGTATGGCAGATCTTTAAATTGTTAATTGTGAAGCTCATTGACTATTTTAGAATACCTGGAATAAGGTTGTGTATGTATATAGAGAGTAATTGTGGATTTTTTAAAAATAACCGCTGAAAGGACCTAAATTTGAATTTGCTAGTGTTGTTCTTATAACTTATAACCCCTGTGTAGTAAAGAATGGTGTTCTTTTCTCTTACTGTTCTCAAATGGGCTACTTGCAATTGATGCTGTGAGAGCATAGCATTGTTTCAGGAAACCAGGAATGCATCTAACTGTAAACCAGCTCTCAGCTTATGGTTTTACAGTGCATGTCAAATAGCTAGCAAAAGCAGTTGAATGTTGATCAAAATTGGGGCTGCTTCTCTAACAGACTGAATCAATTCAGAACTAACTTGGAACTGATTTGGAGATGGTTTATAGTCTTGCAGAAATCTTTGTTTCTTCTATTGATTACATGCAGCTAATATTAGGATGTAGAGATACATGTAAAATTGCAAGTTAGGAACAGTGTTTCCTCTGACTCATGGGAATATCAAATTTTATTAAATACGTAATGCACTTTGCAGAAACCTTTGACCTCTATATTTTAAATATGGACAAGTCTTACTGGAAAGCTTTGAAACAGAAAGCCCCCAAAGCCTGCTCTTTTACTTTGAGCTGTGCTTTTCTGTGGTAGGGGGACATAATAGTGTTAAGAATAAGAACTGAGATAATGGTACATTTAAAATACTGTGGCTATATCTGGTCAGGCTTTTGCATTTTAAGACCTTCCAGTTGATTGGCAGGTGACTGAAGGCTGTGTGCATGATTTTTACTTGGAAGAAGGCTATTTTCTGGAAGGTAAAAGAAATAATGCTTTTGATTTTGGTACTGTCAGGATTACAAGTAATGCAAATTATGAATATGTTGCCTCTATAAATGTCTGAGAAGCTTTGTGTTATGTCTTAGGGTGAGAAGGGGGAGTGGATCAGACCTCTGGCCATGTGGCTAGGGGACTTGATCCACCTGCAGGAGATGCAGTATTACATCATGCTGTCTCATGTTGTGCACCATGCTGTAATTTTGGATAATGTCAAATAAGCATGTTTTCCTCATGAGATAACCAACTTTGTGCTGTGTTCTGATTCTGTCCAAGGAAGCTTACTGTTGTGAATTTCTAAAGTGTCTTTGATTCTTTCACATGAATGACAATATGGCCTCACCAGCAAATGAAAGTGTGGCTTACTAGAATGAGTAGGATGTAATCCTGTGTGGGTAGATACACAAATAAAATAGAATTCAACTTGATGGCAGTGAACTCCCCCTTTCTTTTCCCTGCGTGCCTAAAGAATCTTATAATATCTAATAGTTAAGTTTTGTATAGTTTACATCAGCTTTTAAAGGCTGTTTCATTATATTAGAAGTAAATCTTATTTCTTTCCTAAAGACATTGGTCTGCTTTCTTAGGAAATACTGCTATAAAATCTTGATGGCATAACTGAAGCCAGATTTTGAAATACATGTTCTGGAAAATTAAGTAGGATTATTCAAGAATAAGGTAAATAAATTCCAGCATTGACTTGGGAAAGCTAAAAAAGCCTAATTTAAAATGAGGATGCTAGATGTATTTGGTGCCTTTTAAAGGTCTAGGGTCAGTGCATTAGTATTTCTTAAATGCAACAAAGGTAGCATGTAAGAAATAAAAGATCAAAGATAGGAATGGTGGGGGGTAGGCAGACCTGCAGACCAAGACTGCCAAATCAAAGACATAGCAAAACTTTCTATATTCCTTTCTCCTGAGAACGAGAGGAAGTAGTCAAATTGTGTTCTGTTGCAGTATGCAGATAACTTAAAATATGGAAACAATATGAAACTTTAACTCATACCCACATTAAACAGAAGTCAATCTAAAAAATGTACTCTGGATTTTCCTACAGCTCAAGCTAGAAGACTACAAAGATCGCCTGAAGAAGGGAGAAGCCCTCAATCAAGACCAGTTGGTAAGTTTGCTTTATGTAGGAGTGGGTGCACTTGATCTTCAAGTATGTCAGAAGGGATAGGTTGCTCAAGGAAGTGGTGGTGTAGCTTTGCAGAAGCAATGCCTGCAGACTTGCATTAGTATCTTGACAAAACCAGATGGACAAATTGTTAATTAAGCTGAATGGTGAGCCCACAAGCTTTAAGTCTCCTACTTTAACCTTCATATTGTGTACTGAAGTAATAGAAGGTCTTTGTTCTGTAGACTTTCAGCTTCAGTGCTCCAGTACCTTTATTTCTTGATGAGGTGTCCATATGTAACTTATTTACAGGGCATTGCAGTGTTCAGACACAAACCTCAAGACTTCTGCTGTAGACAGTTAATCCTTATGTCTTTATTAACAGGTGTTACTTGAAATTACCTTTTGGCTGCACAATGCTGTTAAAGTATAATTGACAGGCAGTCCCTGTTGGTACCAAGGAAGACATGGGTCTAACTTGCATGGGATCTAAAGGCTTCCCTGATACAAGAAGCTAGTTATGAGTCACTGACATGGACAGGAGAGTATTCTCAACTTTCTCATGCTGCTATTAGATGGCTGGAAGATGCCAGCACTCAAATACTGCTGGAACAGTATGTCTGTTTTGTACTTAAGGTTGCTAGCATTTGAAATGCCAGGATGCAAGGTCACTACTCACCACACACACATCATCCACCTTGTGGAGCTAGCTTAAGTGCCTGGTCTTAAAACAGTGGTTCTGGCTTTTTCTGTCTTGGACTAGAATGGTTTCTGGAACTGAAACCAGGTTTCAGTAATGTTTTCTCTTAAGCTTGTTTGAGTAGCACTGTCACATAATCCAAAGGGTTTGTCTAGTCATCTAGGAGTCACATTTTTAAAGTGTACTTCACACACATGCTAAAGAACAATTGTGTGATAAAGGACATTAATACTTCAGTGGTAGTGCTGATCCTGCTAATGAATCAGCTGGAAGGATACTTCATTGGCTGTTAGCTTCATCACAGTGCAGCTGTAAGAGAACACAGACACAGTTTTCTTACTCTAAATCATTTTTAAATGAGAACCAGACATAAATGGGATTAGAGGGGAAGTGATAACTTGCTACCTATTTTAAAGCTACTTCTAAAATATCTTTGGTATACACCCTGGACTGTGAAAAGCTGTTAGGTAAGTGAGTTTAAGACATGGGGAACTAAAGAGGTGAAGGATTTCATAGAAGTTTTTCTTGCAAAGGCATTCAGCAGCACTAACTATGGAAAATGTGTAGGCAATTATCTTAGTTACTGGCTTTTAGTATTCCCGGCTGAGTTTAACTTTTTGACTATTAGTATTTTTGTCCCAGTTTGTAGGCTATCTCAGGCTTCTAAGATGGGGAATTAAATTCAGTCTTGGTACTTTACTTGACCAGTGGTAGTCGGACTGTTCAGATGATCATTGTAGAAGCATGTATCAACTCGGTATTTAACTGACAATCTAGTCAACACCCCTGTTTCAGTGGTTAAGTAACAAATACTGCATTTGTACCTTTCAGATGCAAGTTTCCCAATGTATATCCAAATACTGAGACCTGGTGATTAAAGCTAGAGTAGAGCTTAATAATTTAGACACTTGCCTGACTAAACCTAACTGCCTATAATACAGTAGAGCTCTAATGTAGCTTGATGTCATCTATATTTTTCATTGTTTCTCATACAGAGGAAGATGTGCACATCTGGTGATGAACTTGTTTTGCAAGCAATTTGGATTAAACTGTAATTGCTTATGGTACCTGCCTGCCAGAGCTGTTGTGTGTGCTAACCTTACTTTAGGAAACATTTCTTTCAAAAATGAGGAGCTTCCAGCAAGTTAAATGCTCTCCCTGGTAGCCTTGTGCTGTTTTGCAAGCTAAGCAGACTTTCCTCAGTAGTGTAGCTCCAACATGCTGTTAATGAATGTTAATAACAGGTTTGACAGAAGAAAGCTATTGCTTTCCTGCAGGCTGAGTTACAGCTTGCCATCAGAGTACAGTGGTAACTGTTCTTGATGCTTTCAGGTAGGGAGTTTTACTGTGCATATTTAAAAGCACAACTACTGCAATCTGTCCAGCTGTTGGTATTAAATTGAGTCTTTTTCAAATGTCAGATATATCAGCATTTGTCTTGGAAGTCATTCTCCTAAGTGAACTTGATAATTATTTCTTGAAAGGTGCTTGATAAATTGTGTGAGGACAACTTAAACTACCAGAGGAGTACTTTACAGTAACTCCTGCACTTTGTTGTGTTGAGTAGCTTTTAGGCCTAGTAATGTATAGTATACTACAAATAAGTGAATATTAAGTAACTGAACAATCAGACTGATTGAACAAATAAATGTGTAACTTGTTTTCCAGTTGCTTAGGAACACATATGGAATTTGCACATGTCACACATCTACTGGGATAATAGATTAAGCTTTTGTCACTGTACTGATAAAACATTTATCAATGCTAACACTACTTTGAAAGAGCTTTATATTAGACTGATGGGCCCATTCTAGAAAAACCTCTGATACCATGTCATGAGCATAAACCAAACTGAGCATAAAGCACACGTGAACTGAAATTAAATTTAACTTGTTACTTCCCAGGCATGCCTTATGGTATGAGGATGTGGGCAGCATGTCTGATCTACAGCATTTTGCTATCTTCAGAGCTGTCAAGTAGACTTAATAAAATGAACTGACTCCTACATCAGTATACAAAGTATTGCACAAGATGATGCCTGGAAAGTCTAATGCAGAAATACTTGTAGGATATCTGTGTGGTGGTGGCTTTGTACTGCATCTCAGACAGTTATGGGTGAATGATATTCATGACTAAATTTAAAGTACCAGCTATAGACATAGCAACTTTAAAAAAAGCTACAATATCACAGAAGTGCACACTAAATGACTAGTTCTCAATGAAAATTTAAGTACAAGTGGATTAAGATGCAATTAGTAGTCAAGTGTGAAAAATACATTTTTATTTATTCCTTTGTAGGAGGCAGTAGAGAAATATGATGAAGTAGTACACAACTTGGAATTTGCCAAGGAGCTTCAGAAGACTTTTTCAGGACTTGGCCAAGATGTAAGTATAAAATGCTCTTCTCTGTATTTTCAGAGGGTAACTGCAAAGTTTGTGCTATTCTTCTAATGGCTAGATTTATATGCCAGTATGCAGAATACTACAAAGTTTCTGTCTTGAGACTTGGAGGAACAATGTGCTTAAACTGTCTGGAGTAGTGAGTAGAGCAGAATAAATGTTGACGATTTTGTGTACCACTAACCTCCACAATACAGTTATTCACTGTGTACCTCTGTAACAACTTGTGCTTAAGTTAATTGAATAATTGGATCTCAGCTGTGTGTGAGATGAGTCCAGTTTACTTAGGTTTGAAGCAGTTAACCATTTTGTTGGTAGTTTGTGCCTGAGGTGGGCTCACCTGGTGTGTTAGATGCAGATTGATGAGGGAGCAGCTCTACTAGAAAGAACATGCAGATCCTTGTGGGCAGCAGGCAAGGTAAATTAAGTGTACCCCTGAAGCAGTGAAAGCTAGACTTAGACTGAGGACCAGTAGGTTAAGGAGAGCTGATTATTTGGTACTTGTTAACCAGTTGTGTCTAGTTCTGGTCACTTGGTATACAAAGGTTATAGATAAACTTCAATGAGTCCAGTGGTGGGCCTCCAAATGGCTGGAGTCTGGAGCATCAGACCTGTGAGGAGAGCCTGGAAGAGCTGGTCTTGTTCGGCCTGGTGAGTCTTGGCAGGAGATGCAGTATTAGCCTTCAGGTACCAAAGAGATTACTGAAAGGATGGAGCCAGGCTTTCTGCTGCAAGATGTGATAGGAGAAGGAATGATCATAAATTGAAATAGTAGGTTCCAACTAGATAGAAATGGTCATTCTGAGGATGACTGAGCACTAGAGCAGGCTGCCTAGAGAAGTGGTAAAAATCTGTTCTTGGATCTTGTCAAGACCTGACTGCATAACACTCTAAGCAATCTGATCTTCATTCAGCATAACCTTTATTCTGGAGGCTGGGGTAGATGACATCCCAAGATTCCTTCCAAAGTGAGTGTTTCCAGTAAGGGGAAGTGCTGGAGTTAAATCACTTTGGTTTCAGGGAGAGGTACAGCTCAGTAAAATTTTACTGAAGCCTGTGGCATTTGCCACTTATTCTTCTGTAGTTCTTTAATTTTGGCAAGTCACAGACTTAGTACTGTATTTAGGTCTTTATTCAGAGTTTAAAGTACTACATGCATTATTTTTATGTAAGCAAGTGTTTTATCTTCGGAGAAACTAGTCTTTTGGCTCAAGCAAATACTGTCCTTATGAAAAGATCTGTTCCAAGGTAGTGCTGAGGATGTTCAACATGATTAGTCACTACTCTGGCATTATTTCTCTGCCTCTTACAGAATGCTGAAGGACTGGTAAATGACTTGTCTCTGTGCTAAGACCCCAAAGAATTTTGCTACAGAGGCTTTTCTTGTATATGTAGCAATTCCAGCTAGTGCGGTAAATCTCTCAAAGCACTATGAGCAGAGATTTAAGAGCCTTTTCAGCAGTGTTGCTGCTTTGGATTCCCTCAGTCATTGTATGTCGAACATAAACTGCTGTGCTGAATGTCAAAACTTGGATTGCTTCCTATTGCTTTCCTCTGTGTAGCTGCCCATAAAATATCAGAAATGACAGACTGTGACCCAGTATATCTTTCTGTGGGTGTGTTTAGTAATCCAGCATTAAGTTCTACCAGTTCCTGTCTGTTCTTATGCTGTTACTTGAAGGCTAACCCACTTTATTTTTAACTTCCCTCTACTTCTGCCACTATGGATCCTATCTATTGTTAGAACACTAAGGGTCATTCTGGCAACAGCATCCTTATATCCTTTACGGAATGTTCTAGAAAACTAAATTTTCATTGATCTTGCAAAGAAAGTTAAGATACCCCATACTTAGGCATTTTAAATTCTGCAGTTACATGGACAGCTTTTGCTGTTTAATTCTGTTAGTACATCATGAGAAACTTCTCCTCAGATGCATGAGGGCTGCATATGTTCTGTGACTTGTGGTGGTGTTTGTTTAAAGTGCTTCAGTTTTCTGCCAGCAGAAATAAGAGTAACTGTAAGATTCTGCTGTATTATTTAAGTTAGAGCATTTAAAGGTGAAGAAACAGTTGTCTTACTAGAAGTTTGAGACAACTTCTGTATCATGAACTTCATGTGATAAAAGCTAAAGGTCAGCTAGGCTTGGATTTCTGCATTGGTATAAATTCTATCAATTCATTATATTCAGTTGTGAAAGCTCTTACAATAAAGAAACTAGCAGGCATAATCAGGATCTAAATATCATAAAGGCATATCACAAGTGAAGCTACCAGTATGCAGTTTGACTAAAAGCTGG